CAACCAACCCACCCACACCTGATCCAGTCCTCAGTAAATCGGGAGCGTCATCTTTCGGCTCAGCTCCGTCTTCTCCACAACAAACCCCAGAGACACCTCATTACTGCAGAGGCCCTACTTTTTACTAGATTATTTTGATGCCAACTCAGACGTAGAGCTGATCCACTTCCTGTCTCTACCTTTTCCTCAGAGTCCACTTCCTGTTTCACCAAAACTGCCGGTCGTTCCTGGGTCCTCTCTGCCATTTCCCATGATGCTCCGGGCTTCTGGTAGCAGTGCTCACTGCTGATGTAACAGATGGCAGGCTCTCCTCGGGGGCTGGATGTGAGCCTCGGCCCGTCCTCCTGTCTCCATGGTAACCTCCACAGCTGCAGGTCGGGGTGGCACGGTGAGCTGCACAGACAGACGCAGACAGACTGAGCACCGGTCTGCGCAGTTAACAGGCGAGCGGCACCTCGGATGAGTCCGGACTCACCGCAGCAGGCTGATTTTCAGCTGCAGGCCGTTGAGGACCTGGCCGAGACCACGCGTGTGCGTCAGCAGGCGGCCGGTGTGGGAAATCTTGGAGGCGTTGGTCTCCGAGTAGTTCTCCTTCACGCACGACAGGCCGAACATGGGGCCCGAGATCAGCAGGTCGGGTTCGGAGAAGAAGCGCTGAGCCCGCCTCCAACCTGCACGTCAGAACAGAGAAGAGTTTGAGACGAGACCAACGTCAGAAAACATCCCGACCCGGCCCGTTTCCCGTCCGGCGCTCGTCCTACCTGAGCTCTGTCTGCAGTAGTAGCAGGTGTAGCTGAGAGGAACGTTGTCTTCGTACAGTCCCATGCAGGTGCCGTGCTGCCAGAACAGACACGACTCGCACTGACAACACAGAGACACACATCAGAACCACCCGGTCCACACAGAACCACAGGGTCCACACAGAGACACACATCAGAACCACCGGGTCCACACAGAACCACCCGATCCACACAGAGACCACACATCAGAACCACCCGGTCCACACAGAACCACAGGGTCCACACAGAACCACAGGGTCCAGAGATTTTCCACGAGTTTTCTCTTTTATGAATGGAGGTTTGACTGTGTGTGTTTTACCTGGATCATGAAGTCGTTTTCTTCGTCCACCTCACACACACACCTGACCTCCTCACACTCATCTGTCTCCATAGCAACGTGCCAGGGGGGCGTGTCCTCTCCGCTCTCAGCTGTTAGAGTCGACCAATCACTGCCTTCGTCGACTGAAGGGAGAATAAGCTCAACAAACTGATTGTGGATGGTGTGTGTGTGTGTGTGTGTGTGTGTGTGTGTGTGTGTGTGTGTGTGTGTGTGTGTGCGTGCACGTGCTCACCATGTGTGTGTGAAAGCTTCAGAGTGATCGGAGGTCTGTCGGATATTTCCTCCTCGCTGGAGCCGAACCCTGACAGAAGAAGAAGAAATGCGACTCAGCTCTAAATATTCAGTCAATAGGAAACAATCATGTAAACAGGAAGTGACATCATATTGTTGTTCTTTAGCAGCGTGACGGCTACCTGGCAGACTTTTCTTCTTCTTCTTTTTCTTTTTCTTCTTCTTCAGTTTGACCCGCAGGAAGTGCTTCCTGTCCTTCCTGTCGTTCCCTCCTTGCTTCTCCTTCCTCTCCTCCTTCTTTAACTCTGCTAACAGGAAGTCAGACGGTTAAAACGCCGTTACACCTGGTTGTTCCGGAGCCGCAGTGAGCCGACAGACCTGCTCCCATGATGCTCTGCTCCCCGTCGTCACCATGACAACTGCTGCTCCGGCTCTCAGGCTTCCTGCCCAGCATGAAGTCGTTCCCATCAGAAGACGACCTCCTCCTCCTGTAGAACATCTAGCTGGTTAAACGGTAGACCTGCAGGTCGCTCGGGTCCAGCTGGGGGATCTGGACTCACCTCTGTGGTCCCGCTTCCAGGCCTCGGTCCAGCTGCTGGTCCGAGTGGTAGTACTTGGTGTGGTAGTGCAGCAGACTGGCCTTCCTGAAGGACTTGGGGCAGCCAGGAGCCTGACACTTGAAGGGGTTGTGGTCCAGCTCGATGGAGAGGATGGGAGGAGGCTGGTTCTTTATCACCCTGTACACTGAGAGCACACGAGGACCCACACGGCCGTTACACGCCCGTCCACAAACCCTTACACAGCGACGACAGACCGCCGTTTGTGACGCTGGACCAAAACTAATCCACGAGTCCGTCTTTGACGGGCGTTTAAAAACTGAACGAAAATTCAGAGGAACGTTGGGAAAGAAGAACATTCAGAAGACTAAAGTCCATTTGGTGCCATCGGTGAGCGCACGGTGAGACGATGCCCGTCTGCTCGCTCCTGTTACGGCAGACGGTTTTACCATATAATCAGTTCACACTCTTGTCTCCGGTTACCAAAACAAAAAAGTAAAGGTTTGTAAGCTCAACCATCCAGGTAGATAAATGACAAGAAACGGATAAATCGTGTCATCTGGACCGCCTCTTTTTTGGAGGACCTGAAATATAAAGAGCACCTCCTTCACGTGTTTCAAGTCGGCCTGCTGTGCAGCTCCCAGAAATCATGTCCAGGTGACCTGAGTTCACCTTTTTATGAGCTCCCTTATATTTATACTTTTTGTCTTTCTGGGCGGAGTTTGCATGTTCTGCTTGTGATTGCCTGAGTTTTCTCCAGGTACTCCGGTTTCCTGCCACAGATCAAAAACATGCATGTCCGCTGCCTTCAGGCCCACGCCCCCCTTCCAGAAGAGACCTGTGACCTCAATGGGATTTGCCTGATTAAATAAAGGTTAATAAAATAAACAAAACATAAATAAATACTGTAGTCCCTCGATACTTCACAGTTCGTTTTTTGAGGACTTGCTCTATCACGATTTTTTTAAAGTACTGTCCATGTACATGATATTTTCCAGGGAAAAAAAAAAAAAAGTGCCGCCATTTTGTAGTTTTCTTCATTAAGCCTTCACTGTGTTGCCAGTCTAAAGAACTATGTTACCCAGAAGCCATCACTTCCCAGAAGTCAACTGCCTTTCAAACACTGCTTTCTGCAAATGGAGGGAACGTTTTGCAGCAAAGTCAGAAGTTCTGCAAGTTCTGTAAGTTCTGTAAGTTCTATAAGTTCTGTAAGTTCTATAAGTTCTATAAGTTCTATAAGTTCTGTAAGTTCTGTAAGTTCTGTAAGTTCTATAAGTTCTATAAGTTCTGCAAGTTCTATAAGTTCTGTAAGTTCTGCAAGTTCTGCAAGTTCTGCAAGTTCTGTAAGTTCTGCAAGTTCTGCAAGTTCTGCAAGTTCTATAAGTTCTGCAAGTTCTGCAAGTTCTGCAAGTTCTATAAGTTCTATAAGTTCTGCAAGTTCTGCAAGTTCTGCAAGTTCTGTAAGTTCTGCAAGTTCTGTAAGTTCTGTAAGTTCTATAAGTTCTGTAAGTTCTGCAAGTTCTGTAAGTTCTGCAAGTTCTGCAAGTTCTGCAAGTTCTATAA